GTTCCTAATTTCCATTTGTTATTAAGTTATTATTTATATTATGTAAGTGAAAAAATGTAACCAATTACTGAGCTACAAGTTATTTAGGATTTAGTTCAAACTTAAAATTATAATCATTCTTGTGGGATACGCGCTGCATAAATTGAATGTGTAAATCCATGTGTTCAGATTTTCATAAAAGCATATTAATTTATATTTAAAAAAGTTATTAAGGAAAGCAAGTGGAATTATTAGGGAAAATGAAAAATTAAGGTGTATTTATATTAATAGAATTTTAGAACAATTATACATAATATTTTAAAAGAAAGTAGTAAAATAATATACAAGTTAGAACTAAAACAATATTTATTTAACTACCATCAAACATTAATACTGTTTATAGTACAAAAATTGAAGTTTAGATAGTAAACATTTATCTTTCTTTTTTCTCTCGAAGAATTTAGAAGGAAAGCTAGCAGAGAATAATGCAGTAACACTAAGACACATGTAACAAATATTTCTTATTTTCAGTAATTATTAAACAAAATTGCTGCGAAAATGCTCTGCTAGCTAAAATTGATGAGCAATTCACCCAATTCAAGGAAACATCCAGAAAACAAACGGTTGCCTCAACCTGAACTTGATATGTGATAGGGTTTAAGAAAATACTTAAAGAGCTATAACAAATTTATTAAACAAAAACAAAATAGGCTACAGCTAAAACAACGATCACACACTCCGAGTTTGTACACACGCTCCACTGAGATCTGAGTAACATAATGCACAATACCCTTGGCCTATCTAACATTCAAAGTTTAGAGAAAATACTTATGACAAGAAAATATCACCATTTACCCTGTGCAAGTCTCTGTTGTCAAAATGCAAGTGATTGACTGTACTCAAACGCACAGACTTGCTAGGTATTAGCTCAACATATGGTACAGGTACACGACATGAATACACTGTGATGGAAACCAATCAGAAGCCACCTAAGTACGGAGGATAACCTGGCGGATGCGTCGACGTAGGCTGTGGATAACCATAGTATGGATAATTGGGACTGGGTACATGTAATCCAGAAGCATAACTCTGTGCATACGGAATTTGGGGATACGAAAGGGGGGGCATGGAGTCATAATGATTACTCCATGTGGGTGTTGGATAAATGGGATAATTAGAGGGAGAAGCATAACTGAAAGGAGATGCTGGGCTACTGTAGTCTCCTTCTCCTTCGGTTATACTTGGAATTTGATCGACCAAAGATTCTAATCCAGACAGGCTTTTTGATGCTATATCCTGGGAGTGTCTTGGAGGAAGATAAGCATTTTCTGACGGCATATCCATATTATATGATGTTTGATAAGGATAGTGAGGTGGCTGCTCACTAGGTGAAGAAGCTGGACTTTCAAAACCTTCTTCCGCCATATTAGAAGGGGGTTCAAAATCGGGAGGCCCTATACTAGGAGACGTTGGCGAACCTAAAGGTTCCGAACTAATAGCAGCACTAATCTCAGAACTAAGATCTGAATGTGTAAATGAGTGCGAATGTGGTCGTGGTGATTGGCTGTACTGGGGACGAGGGGATTGATTATATTGTCGAGGTGATTGGTTATATTGAGGTCGTGGGGACTGACTGTACGGTGGACGTGGAGACTGACTATATTGTGGTCTAGGAGACTGGCTGTATGGTGGTCGTGGTGATTGACTGTACGGTGGTCTTGGAGATTGTGAGAATTGAGCTGATCGAGGTGACTGGTTGTAATTCGGAGTAACATATAAACTATTTGTGCTGTTTGGAGGGTTAACATCGGGCGGCATATGATAATAACCATTCGGAGACTGTATAGGGCTAGGGTTACCGAAACTTTTCATGTTATTCTCGATGTTTGATGACTGAAGATTATCTTTTAAATCATCAGCTTTTACTTTTTTAGGTCGCCCTCTTTTCTTTTTAGGAAAATCACAGTTAGTTTGTGCTGGTGGTTTTCTTGGTGTCGAAGTCTTTGGGGTCTCTTCACCCTCCACTTTAATTTTCTTTGGTCTACCTCGTTTCTTCTTACACGGAACTATAGTACCGTCCTCTTTTGTAATCACAGCGTTACTAATATCAGTTATATCAGGATCCGGTTTTGGTTCCGGTTCATAGCATGCTTTTAAACGGGGTTCAGTAAAAACCATTTCTGAGTCATCAATCGTCGCTATTAAACCATTTAAATAATCGCGAAATTTTTTCAAAGCCGCATAAAAGGGAACTTTGTCGGCTGCTCTTGGCAACTGTGCACATCTTGCACTTGATGAAGGCATCACCCACATATACTGCAAAAACGTAGATCGTTATAAGTTGGCGTAATTAAAATAGTTATTTCTATTTTACCGTATTTGTACCATCCACGCAATCCGGCTGTCTTCCAAAATGAAAGTCTTTTTTTCCAGAAAACACTTCATAAATAAGTTTCCCATTGAAAACAGCAATCTTTGGCCTGAATTTTCTCAACTTTTCTAACAGAATTTGACTACCTTCTTTTATTTCTTTTCTTGTTAGATCTGCACTGCCCTTTGTGGGGCGTTGTACCATATTTGTAAAACCGATTCCTACCTGTAATAGTTTATAATCTTCGTCGGCTGTCATTTGTTCCTTGGTTAACCCAGATAAATATAAACATTTCCAGAAATGATTACCTGGACCTGCATAATGATGTCCTTTATATGCTGCAAACAGACCTGGATTTATTCCAATCTAAAAATATAGAAATTTTATTAAGTAATTATATACACTGGTAATAATTTTTTATTTTTTGTAAAGGAGAAAAAACATATAAACTTACGATTATAATATCTAAATTTGCTGCAAGATGATCAGGAAGCGTTCTTTTTGAAACTTCTTCTTCTGGCATTCCATTGAACCTATCATGTTTTTTTCGTTCTTTTACTGGTCTAGGAAGTCCAGGATTTGATAAAGTTGGGTTTATCCTTAAAATAATAAATATGTTAAACCACAAACATGAACAAAAAATTAACTAAATGTAAATGAGTAACCTTGATGACAGATTTACTTACTCTTCTGTTTTTAACTTCTTTTTTCTACCTCGCTTTTTAGGACCCATTATAAACTGACTAGGATTATCAGCACTGTTGATACACACAGGAGGCCCTTGATTATTAACAGGTAATCCTGGCATTGGATCATCATCTATGAAACTATATGGATCTTCATTTTTCTCACATTTCACTTCATGATTTAATGGGGCAGTGTTTGATAATATCATATCACCACTTGTTTCATAACCATCATCTTGGGGTTCTAGTTTCATATTACTGAAAAGAAAAATAAATTAAATAAAAGAGACATTAAAAAAGAAATTACATAACTTACTGTTTTCTTTTACCTGCAAACAGGAATAAAAATAATTCCGAACATAAAGAAGCTAAAAAGTTTGGTATTCGAATTAAACACAAATAATTGCTTCTATAAACATCCAGCTAATTTCAAATATCAGCTCATAGCTGCGAGAATATAATTATCCGACGATGTATTTCAAACGATACTAATAATTTATCTAATCACACAACTGTTTGTAACGTAGGTAATAATGCATGCTACACCAATTTGTTTGCATTAAGGGGTGAGGTTATCCAATGCAGGGAGAAACAAATTAATGAAAACAATGACAAACATAAAGACATTCACATTTAATCAGAAAAATTCTTTTTACTTACATCCTATATTTATTGGACACACTGACAGGATGACTGAACGAATCATAACATATCGCGGTAGGGCCAAGATTTGGAGCAACGGATTCAGGCCCTCCGCTTCCTCCTGCTTCCATCGTTGCTCCCAAAAGATTGGTAGACTCCCGGAAAAGCGTTGCCACCTGCATCTGATCTAAAATAATAACTTTAGGCGTCTAAAATTCCGATAACCACAAATTTCTATTCTCACTACTGTTTTATCTCAGCGACAAAAGTACTTCTAAAACCTCACCCTTTAAAAATAATTTCGACACTCTCATTGGTTCAATGGACGTTTCAGAAAAATCAATAGAACGTTATCTGTCAAAATTTTTGTTGAACCAACAAGCAGTGGTAGTTCGTCGGCGTCGCTTTTACGACGCTAGCGTCGCCAATTAAACGAAACTAATTTTTCTGATATAGGGCGATATGTTTCACAAACTTTTACAAAAAATTGTTATCATTAAAACTTCGTATTTTTATTAAACAAATGCAAAAATGGTAGTGCTGAAAATGAATAAAGGATTTAACCAAATTAAGGTTATATGTGTTCGTGATGTTAAACGGTAAAGTAGTATAGCAAATAATGTAGTGGTAAATGATAATATTTTACAGGATATTTTGTAAGACGACAGGTGTCTAGAACTTCTAAACAACGAGAGAAAGTTGGAAGGTACTGCATTGTACGTAATATTCGGTTAATGAAACAAAATTGTTTAAGTCTAAAGATTATAAGTGATGTGTCACATACCAATGTTTGTAATTTATTAATTTAATATTTAGGTTTTCAAATCCAAAGTGTATGAAAATGCCGGTTTTCTCCCTTTTTTTATGACTTGAGCAGTTCAAGTTTCTGCAATTTGTCTGTGTAACGTTTGATAAAAGGCATGGGAGTGCATGGAAGTAACCTAAAGTAAAAACCAATTTCAACTGTAAAATTATACAGGTAAAATACCATTAAAATTAATATTGCAATGCACTTAATTAATAATACACATTATCTTATATCCATAAATCCGCTTCCATCCTTATTGCGTATAGTTCTACCCAGCAAACTCATTGTACAGTATTACTCAAAAAAAAAAAAATGATGTCATAAATTCATAAATATGTAGGATATACATTATAATTGAATTGACGTTATTCTATTGCCAAAGTATGTATTTGGTCTTCATTAAGTTTACTATAAATTATATAAATAATAGAAAATCTAGTCCTTTAAAAACAGAAACAATTATTTTGAACGATACTGTACAATGACACGTGTATTGTCCGTAATGTTTTATTTTACAAAATTTACATGTGTTACATAGCAGTAACATATTTCTAAAAAATTAATGAAAATAGAATTAAAAGACATTATGTATGAGNCCCGATGCAACTTATGCTCTCCTAATACAAATGTTGAAATTTATGAAAATTTTCAGTTTTGAGCCAAATACGAGGGTTAGTCGAAAGGAAATGGAAAATTCAACTTGTTTCTTGAAATTTAATTTTTCCATTACTTTTTGACCAACCCTCGTATATGACGCAAAACTGAAAATTTTCATAAATTTCAACATTTGTATTAGGAGAGCATAAGTCGCGAAAGATCTTTTTCAGACTTCCAATTTTTAGCGCGGGATCAAGGTATGGCAGTTTAATTTTTCGTTATTCACGTAGTTCGGCGTTGAAAGCTTTGATTTGCACTAGTACTATAAAATAATTGAAATTTATTGCTCGAATTGCGTTTTTTTATGTAAGTGTTGCTTTAAAATTCAACTTTTACTGAAAATTTTTGCTTAATTCTTCAATAAATTACTTCTA